TGCTGTCTTCCTTCTCTTTAAAATGCTTTTAAATTATAATGGAGTATTGTTATAGCACTCACCTTGACATCAAGGTAATTCAATATGTGATAGCTACACTGAAATGATATGCCTTTACTTATCTTGATTTCTTTCTTTTATTAGAGGAGATAAGCAGACCAGCATAATTTCTTTTTTTTCTCATTGAGTTTCTTGGTACATTTTAGGTATACAGTACAGTTGCATTCATTATTGGGATCTTGTACCTTTACATGACAGGTCTTGGTTCTCATTTTTCCCCTCGTCCCTGCCTTACTTTAGAGCAGCATAATTTCTGTCCTCCTTGACATTTGCCTCCTGAGTTTAGGATGAATTATTTGGATACACCTTTCAAGTATATACATCTTTTCTTGTTGAGAGTCTACTTGAACAATTGGATGAGTTGTAATGGGTTCTTTTACTGTTGGTTTCTAATGCTACTATTGAAGGTTTGTATATTTTTAAAATTTTATTTATTTTTTGGTACTCAGAATCGAATTCAGGTCTTTGTGCTTGCAAGGCAGGCACCAGAACCACTGAGCTAAATCCCTGGCCCTGGAGGTTTGTATCTTGATTTCCAAAAGATAAATGGATGGTCTTCAGATAGTTATGAAAGGCTAGCTGGATCGTGTTTCTAATTTTTATGTCAAATGCAAATTTAAGAGAGGACTCAAGTTTTGATTTACTCATATTTCATGGCTAAATATTTTATATTTTATAGTTTATATCTGGATGTCCTATCAAAGGCTCATGTATATGTAGCTGTAGCTTTTGGGTGGTGATCAGATCATGGGAACATGAAACACATTAGTGGATGAGTCCACTGAGGAGTTTATAGCTAAATGTGATGTTGGGAGGCGAAGCCTGGTTGAAGAAGGTGGGTCACTGGGAGCATGGTCGGGAAATTTTGTCACCTTCTCTTTCCCCTTTATCCCTGTCTCTGCTACTCACCATCACTATGACCCTTGCCATGCTCTCCTGCCTTGGAGGCAGCCAACTGTGGACTGAAAACTCTACAAACCACGAGCCAAAATTAACCTTTCCTTTCTTAAATTGTGGGTATTCGGTGATCTGTCTTAGCAATGAGAAAGTAACTGAGACAGTATTAGTAGAACTAATAATATACTAACAACATCTATAAGTCTAATCAAGCTTTTGAAAAGTACCTTCTTGAAGGTAAAACATAATTCTTAAAATTGGAAGTGACTGACCAGCAAATTTTATATTTTCTACCTGGTATAAATGAACTGAAAACTTGGTCTGTTTCTTCATCTCAATTTCAATTTAAATAATATATATGTGCAATATATATGTAAGTTATGCAATGAATATATGTAAATGTATGCAATTATTCATAAATTTATAATATAAATCTCAATTCTTTTATTTTTTATTCTTTTGAGGCAACGTCTTGCTATGTAGTTCTGGCTGGCTTTGAACTCATTATGTAGTCCAGGCTGGCCTCAAACTCATGGTGGTGCTTTTTCCTCAGCCCTCAGAGTGCTGGGATTACAGGTGTGCGCCACTGTGCCTGGCCGTAAATCTCAATTTTAAAATCTCTTTAAAGTGTGTGATCTTACAAGGTAGACATTGAGCTGAGGTTTTAGTGATTACTGTCTGTTGATTTGAGTTGAGTGAGATGGCATAATGATGACAAAACAAGAACGAATGCTTTTGCAATAAGTTACTGATACTGCCATAGTACCCAACTGATAATGGAGCGGGAAGGAAGACTGATAATTTTATTCAGTGTTTTCAATAGGAATTTACCCTATACCAGTCAGCATTTATAACCAAGTAACAAGGTTGTAATCTGAATAATGTCCCTGTTTCCAAGAACCAGGCACTGCAAAATTGCGGGGTCCTCCAAAGTTTAGCAGGATACTTCAGAGGGATAACAAAGCACTAGATGTCTGTGTCAGTTTAACTTAGAAAATCTTTATGCTAGGAGAACTTTAAATACATAATATTTATATATGTCTAAAATGGTTTTGGCAGTTTTAACCAAGAAGAGGGTATTAGGAGACAGAAAGTTATGGCCTGGGTGTCAAATTCAGCCTGTGCCTATTTCTTTATATTACATAAGCTAAGGATGGTTAAAATTTAAAAACTAATATTTTGTGAATGATAACAATTTGAAATTCAAATTTTAGTGTGCATAAACTTTTTTGCAAACAGTATTGTACACATTCATTTGCATACTGTCTATGGCTGCTTTCACACTAAAGTAGCAAAGTTGACTCAATTGCAACAAAAAGTATATAGCCTGAAAAGCCTCAAATATTTAATACTTGGCCCTTTACAGAACAGGTTTGCCTTCTGCATAGGATTTATTAAAAGTTATCTTTCAGTTTTAGAACATAACAAATAGTATGTTACTAAGAGATTTAATTCTTTCTTCTGAGTTCATTGCTCATGTCCATGCTAAAGAAGTATATATTATTTGTCTCATGTCATACAACTTGCCTAATCATTTCCTAAAAGATAAGACAAATTTACCAGTTTCATATCTGGTAATCATCTCTCAGGTTAACCAGTTTCAGAAAAATATCTAAAGTTTAAGTACTATTTAGTAGTAGTTCTTGACCTTTATTCTATTCCTTTATACCTGATAGACAGGTATAGAGATCTCTCTCTGTATAGAAATCTCCCTTGTAAAGGGGAGAAGGGTGAATGGGCTGCTTCTGTCATCTACACAGGATGCCAAGGAATATGGATAGCTCAATCTTAAATGATTTTGACAGGGAACCCTTTCCACCAAGGTTGTATGATAATCAATACCTATAAGACCGTTTATGTTGGTTCTACAGATTGTATCATTATAATGGTTAAAACATTAGAGAGCAGAGTGCATTAATTATAAACAAAAAAGTGAAAATAAACAATCATATAAATGACAAAATATGACACTTAATCATAATAATTAAGTGTACTTTAAATTTGATGCAGTAATAAACTATCTGAAGGACATTTCCATATTCTGGAAAAAGACAATTATAGTTGAAGATATTCACTCATTTGTTATTCTGTGGGATTTGTACAGTAATTTCATAAAGTATGTTCAGACTTGAAGTTTGAAGAAAAATGTAATAAAATTCCTATATTTCAGTGTTGTTTGTGCAACAAAATACATGCTTGGAGACTCAGAAGGCTTGAATTCTATTCATGGCTTGGCTTTTATCTAGTTAAAGGATAAAGCTAGAATATTTCCAAGTTATTTTTATCTGTAAAAGTTGAATATGTGATCAGAAAATAAAACAACAGCCCTTTTCTCACTTTTCCAGCCAGAAAGCTCAGGAAAAATTATTTGTAAGGACCTAGTAACACCTACTTTTTTGCTTCCTTTAAAATGTTCTGCTTTGTTTTATTCATAAGTGGCTTATTTTCACTGTCTTTTAGCTCTGTAAAGCATCTCTGAAAACAGGATATAAAATTTATATAAAAACAATATTTCTAACTTGGATTAGAGTGGCTGAGCTTAATGATAAATTTGTCTTCACATTTGATTCATGTTTTAGGTGACTCATAGCCAAAGATACCAAAGTTTACAATTACGCATAAGACAGCTGGAATGTCTTAGTCAATCTGTTTTAATAGATTAGTGACTTGTAAAGGAAGAAAAACATTCAATTTCTGTGTTTCTAGATGAACTCATCATTCCTATGATTTTTTTAGGGTGATGTATAGGAAATCTTTTTTCAAGTTTTGTTTATGGGATATAACAGTAAGGTGGATAAACTGCTTGAGGAAGTCAAGTAATGCAGTCTAGTGAACAGTGGCCTGGAAGGAATAAAGGGAGAGGCAAGTTGCTGTTGCTGCTTTCTCACTGTTGTGCTGCCTTCCTGCTTTCTGCCTACCATGAGTTATCTCTACTCTCTGATGTCTGTCTGCCACACCATCTGCTTTGAAACCAGCCAACTGTGGACTGAGACCTCTTCAAACTGGGGAGCTACAATAAACTTTTCCTCCCTTAACTTTGGGTGTTGGGTATTTTGTATCAGCAATGAGAAAAGAGATTAAGACACGCATCCACATATGAATGTGCATGTTTATATTTGAGAAGATAAGGAAGGAATGAGAGAGAACAACAGGCAAAGAAGAAACTAAATAAATGTCACAGTGATGAATTCCAGTACTACAGATGTAAAAAATCTATAAATTTCATTTTTTCCTGGGCATTAAAGTTGTGTGCTGATGATTATTCCTCATTGCTTCATTTTAAAGTAACAAGACTTCATACTAATGTCTTCCTATGAAGCACATATAGAAACTTTTCCTTGATTCCTTGAGAATCATTTTGTTTAAAAATTTCTCTCAGAATTTTATGTATATTTGTCACTTATTAAAAACAAGCAAAAATAAATCTAAATTTAAAAATGTGCTTACTGCTTTACATTTCTATAAATTCTATACCTCTCAGATTTGAACTACCTAGCAAAATCACTGATTTCTTAGTCCTTTCAAAAACTTCTTTCTATTCAACCTAAGTTACTTAAGAATTTTACATTCTGCAGTGGCTAAATAGACCTCTTTACATAGGGGCTTCTAAATTGATTAGAACCTCTTTTTGTCTTTTAACTTACACTTTGTTCTTCAGTGGTTCAGATATACTGGAAAAGAAGCAGAGAATATTGGCCAGTAAGTGATGGTAACACAGAACAGAACCCATCTTAGAAGTACAGTATAGTCAGATGGTCAGGAAGAAGGAAAGTTCCTTTAGTTCCCATTTTCATTTCCTCAAATACTCTCCAAGGACTTGCAAATGTCAAAAAGCTGATATTGATTTCAGAATTACTGTTCAACTTCTTTAATTTGAGACAAACAGAAGCTCCTCTTGGGTTTAATTTGTGTGTGTGTGTGTGTGTGTGTGTGTGCGTGTGTGCGTGTCTGAATGAGTATGGAAGGGTGTTTTTTTAAAGCAAAATAGCATCTATATTTAAAATATGTTAAATTAATAATATTCAAAGAAAAAAACAATTGACTTATGTAGGATTGTTAATTCAATATGTCCAAGGCTTTGAGTACTCTGGATTTTTTTTTTTTTGAGACAGGGTCTCACTATGTAGTTGAGACTGACCTGGAACTCACTGTGTAGCACAGGCTGGTCTCGAACTCACAGTGATCCTCCTGCCTCAGCCTCCTGAGTGCTGGGATTACAGGCATGTGCTACCATGCCCGGTTGGGGTTTGTTTTTGTTTTGTTTTTTTTACTTTGAGCACTCGTAAAATCATCAAATTTAAGGGCCTTCTTATTGGTGATATGTATTTTGTAGGTTGAGAAGTATAATGTTGAATAAAAAGCTTTCTGTGTTCAAAGATAAATTTCCATGGAGCAGTTTCAGGATAAACAAAGCTGCAGTGATCAATTAAAATAAACTTTTTCTCTCTCCCCAGATGAGTCTCTCATCTACCTACCATTTATGGTTTCTCTGGCCTTCCTTATGATACTAGCACTGGTACTTTTTTCTACTTGTTAAAGATACAATAACAGAGACAAAAATTACTCATAATCTAGCCAAATCAAGGTATTCACTGCAAGAAAGGTACAGATTAATGAGGACTAGTTTAGAAATTTAAAAAATCAAACAATAACCTACAAAATACAAAATGTATAGACAAAACATAATTCTTATTAAACTGAGGAAAGAACAAAATTCCCTTTAAGAGTAAACTTTTATTTTAAAATATTAAAAGTTATATTGTTTTTTCTGTTGTTGGAGGTATAGATATTCATAATTATCTCCTTTATACATAGTCTATATCCCCCAATGCTCTTATGTAAACATATTCTTTTTATAGACAAGTTCAAGTTAAATCAAATTCATGAGATTTCTACCTTTTAGATACCACTCACTAATGATGAAATTTGAGCCTAAACAAAATTTTATCTGCACTAAAAGTAGCCTGAAAAGTATTTTTCTTGGGTCCATCTCTTCCTCAAAAGGATAACTTTCAGATATAAATAACTTATGGAAAAAAGGGAATAAATTAAGATAAAATATCTGGTTTTTTTTGGTACCGTGGATCGAACTCAGGACATTGTTCTTGCAAAGCAGGCATTGGCACCACTGAGCTAAACCCCCAGCCCAAGATAAAATATCTTAAAATATCTCAATTCTTGATTTTTCTCTATCAGTAAGTCAAAATTTATCATTTATGTACAATTTATGCAACATTCATTTTCTAAGGCAGAATATGACTTAACTCTTGCATATTATGACATTCACTCATTTATTAAACAAATACCTATTGAATATATACTATGTACCAGATACTGTGCTAAGGAATTTAGTACAGCAATATTTTAATTGAAAAAGATACCCTGGGAACTGAAGACATATGGTAAACTCAGAAAATAATAGAATTTGGAACAAGAGTCTCATGTTGCCAGTTCTGCTACCTAAGGCCACTGACAGCAATTCTGTTGCAGATTTTACAAAGCTTTCTGAGTTGCTTCCTCACAGACTGCCTATGTCCAGGTGCTGATTCTTAACTTCGCATTAAGAAATCTTACTGAGGAAAAGGTGGCTTCAATGGCAAGGTTTCAGTATAGTTAATATATTACTTCTGCTTTTTAGATTTTATACCATATTCCCAGATTGTTTTGTTTCCTAAGCCTCACTAGAGACTCACAAAAAATTTATTACAAGGTAAAATATTAGACTGAGTTGAAGGGAAGATTAATAAATTGAACACAAACCAGGCATTGTGCTGCATTCTTATAATCCAAGAATATAAGAAGGTGAAGACAGAAGGATCACAAGTTTGAGTTCAGCCTGGTCAACTTAGTGAGACTGTCTCAAAAATAAAAAATAATGTCCTATATAAAAAAGATTTGAACACATATTTCTTATCCACCAGGATTCCAAAACACTGCAATATTACAATGAACTTTTTTTAAAACTCAAAATTCAATTGATGAACACATTTAACTTCCTATAATGCTGCAACAAACAAAATAGATAAAAACATTTAATCACACATGAAAGGAAAGGAATAAATCAAATTCAAGTGAAAAGCCTAATGGAACTAAACAGAAGATTGGGAAATGATTTCATCTTTTTATCTTCTAGAAGTAAATTGCTCTTATTTTAATAAATAAAAGTATATAGGGCAATAATAGGTAGCCATTTCAATGATCCAAATCATACTGAACAACCCTAACTCATTTGTTCTAAAATGCAGCATGAAAAAGTTATATCCTAGTAAGGCGTGAAATGTACCTCAGTGGTAGAGTCACATGCAAGGCCCTGGTTTTGCTTCTCTAGCAACAAAAAAAGTTATATGCAGTTCCAAACTTAAAAACTAGGTACTTGAATTTATCTTATAGAAAAAATATATGATTGACCCTGTCAGGAAATAAGTTAAAAAATATATACATAGCTGCCAAAGTATAAATGCTTAAATGAAAAAAAAAACTTCTGAAGTCATCAATTCTTTCTTTAATTTAGGATAATAATTACCTATCTCACACATTCATAATTATATAATACTAATGAGTATGAAATCAATATGGGATACACTGATAATTATTGGTTGTGAATATCAGCATTTCAAAAGAATTTAAGAAAGAGACAAAATGTGTCTAGATCAGGTTTTTCTAAAAATAAGATGAAAAATCATGAACTAGAATTGTTTTATTTTTACCTAGAATATTATTGAAATTGTCATACAAAACATGCTATAGTTTTAAGCCTGAGCATAGCTACAGTACAAGTTAATTATGTAGCAAAATTGTACTTTTATACTTTAAAATTATTCTATTATTCTAATTATACATTTATCCTTATTTCTAGTGAGATTAGTTTTATGTTTTAATGAGGGAAATTTTAAGTAGAAGACTACATTTAGGCTGTGAAGTAAGAAAAGACATAGTTCTAATCTATATATATATATATATTTTTTTTTCATTAACTATGTACTTTGAGCATTTCATTATGTGGATAAGAGTGGTAGGTTGGTGTGGGTGGAGAGGGAGAGGAGCTATTTTCTTTGCCATTCTCCTCTTGCCCTCACTGACCCCATGTGGTGCAAGATCTTTAGGACAAAAAAGAACTAGGCATTCCAGTTAATGATAAGGTCTATGCTTGGTAGCAAATTAACAAATTTTTTCAAAGATTGTACTATCAGAAGTAACCTGTAATCCTGTAACGTCTTGTGATTCTGGTTGAACTGTTCTTGCTAATTGTTAACTTTTCAAAGATATGTCTTATCTACTTATTGGAGTCACTATATATAGAGGACAAGATGTTAAACTTTGTAGACTACAAAAGTCCTAGCACAAAAAATTCACTCACACATGTTAACTATATATTCACAAAATGAGTTATATTTGAATTTATAGACATGGGAAAAGCCAAAGCTATCATGAAACATATTTGGGATCTGTTAGCAACAAAACTGACAAGTACAAGTCTATCTAACTCATTCACTAAAACTGCAATAGTGTATTGTTGTATATTAATATGCTATATCATGTACATATCCTGTTAAATGTTTAGCTCTTAATTTTCCCTATTATAAACAATGTTTCATTAAACACCCTAGAATATACTTTCCTGTGTGCCCAACATGTAGGTGGAATCTCTGAGTCATAGGATATATAGCACATTTCCTACAAATTAGTCATTGCCAAATTGCTCTCGAGGTACTAGTAGTACATTTATTTAATATTAAGAAATTTCTGTTAATTTTTAGGGTATGATAGTGATATTGTAGTTGTAATAAAATACTCCTTACTTTTTAGAAACATATTGAAATACTTGCAGATGAAAGGATACAATGTCTGTGTCCAAGTAATACGGGGCAACTGGGTGAAAGTCTCATTGAAGCAAGATTGGTCAAGAGTTAACTGCTGGACATTGGATGATGGGTAACATAGGTATATTAACCATATGTTTCTGATTCTTTGAAACCTGAGATCTTTTTGACTGTGGACAGAGTACCCCTTTCAATATTTGGCTAATTCCTTGAGATAGCAGGAGTCACCAGGACCAGATATCAGGAGCCATTCATGTGCAAATCAATCAATCAAGAGCCCATACCACAAACAACTCCTTTAAGGTGCTCTCATACTCTAAGCCATTATTTTCCTTATTTTAATTATATCAGGGCCAGGTGGTAGACAAATGAGGACATACTCCATGCTCCTGAGTCTGCAGAAATTATTCGAACTAGCCAACCCCAAACCTTCTTTCCCTTCCTCACCCATGCGTTCCTGCAGAAATCATGCACAGAGGCTCTTGCCTTTGTTTCCCCATTGCTCCCTCTGCCTCTTATATCACCTCAGTGCTTCTTCATGTGACTCCCTCCATGGCATGGCAATCCCTTCCTTTTGGGATCAGTGAATATACAACCACGTGTTCAATGGCAGGTAGATCTCCTGATCTACTGGCCTCGCCATACCTAAATTATCATAAAACCTGAATTTGAAACGAATGATGGTTATTTGTAGTATTCTTCTCACTTCCGTATATATTTGATACTTTCATAACAAAAACAATCTCTCCCTTATTTGAGGATATTACTGTTATGAGCAGAATTGTATTACCTCTAAATTCATAGGTTTAAACCCTAACCACTAGGACTTCAGAATGTGGCCATAGAAGGGGCGGGGTTTTTAAAGAGATGGTCACTACAATTTAAAATGAGGCCATTAGACTGGGTACTAATTCTATTGGATCTATATCCTTATAGAAACAGAATCTTGGACACACAGAGACATAATAGGGCTGTGCCTGTATGGTGCAAACACTGCATGAAGGCATAGCAAAAGGAAAAAATTCTGTAAGTCAACGAGAGGTTTCAGAAGAAACTAAACCTGCCCACACCTTGGACTTGTAGTTTTGAGCACTATGAGAAAGCAAATTATTGTTGTTTTAGCCAACCAGTCTGGGATATTTTGTTATGGCAATACTAATGAATGAATACAATTGCCTACCCCAGCTAGAATACTGATCCCATTCAATTGAGATAGAGTCAGTGTATTAGGCATTTTTGACTCAAATTTTCCTACTTTAAATTTTAT